TTCATAAATTCATAAAGTTCTCGGTGACCTCGAAGTGCGGAGTCAATTTCGTTCTTTTAACTTTGGCGTGCGCTCATGTAAAAACGAAATTTAAGGATATTATAGAAGATTTTGTGGTAAACTTATAACCAACTACAAAAACTTAAAACAACAGCGAATAAACTAAACACAATATCAGTTTCCGACCGTTTATTATAACTAATCCGATGCTTGTGGGGCCGTTGAATCCTTCGATACTACAGCACTGAACGCGTTGGATGAGAATCTCATCCTAAGAGCGGCAACTCGGGCGGATGACGTGGTAAGAGAGCCTATTGGTTATATTATTCTACTGTGGTTGAACTGTGTTTGGACAAAGTGGTTGTAGAGTATTTTGAGATGTTCTGTATTCAGGTGATTTTTTATACATTTGATTGTAAAATGCATATCTTTTGACTTCTTCACTACATGTTTCATTTGTAGGTCCCATTCCAGATGTCGATCAATTACGATGCCTAAATATTCAATCGATTCAGCCTCAGATCAATATTCTACGACACATCCTCGCTTGTTTCTGTGGTTTTTCAGTTCAATTCAACTGATTGTTCAACTAACGTTTTGTCAAACACAAACTGTATAATTATTGTCGCAAATAATTTTAATAACTGGCGGTTTTCTAAACTGTTCAATGAAAATCCCACAATAAAGTGTTGATTATCAGTTTTCATTATCATTTATGTTTCATTTCCATTCATGGTGGTATTTCCCATTCATCAAATAATACACAAATTTCCCACTTCATGATGAGATATAATAAAGTTTTACCAAAAATTTCTGATCATGAAGTAATCTTTCATGCTACACTTCAACAAAACATAATTAATCTGCTCTGAAGGAAAATCACTTGATATAATTAGTTTTGCAAGGCGAAAAACATAAAACTCTCATTGACCTATTTTTCCTATGGTAAGTAGGCTAATGGCAACTTTCTTCGTTATGAATAATTCTCAGATATGCCGCCCAATTTTAGGTAACTTTCACTATCGATTCAAAGAAAAAGTTGAACACTGATAAGATCGTAGGCTTTCACGGCCGGAATCACGATCAGAGTGAACAAAATTCAGGCTGGTAGGCCAAGATCGAATGAAACTTTTAGTACCAACTGTTTCGTCTGTTACTACAGCAGACATCATCAGTGGTATATGCGTTGACTGCAAATACGAAGGTTATATCTAGAAGACTCCGCAATGATTCACTCAAAAACGTCAGTCAATTCTTCTTCCAGAAGTTCTATCTTCGAATTTTTTGTTATGCAAGTTTTTGAAGACTTGTGGAACAATTTTCACCTTTTGAGAAAACGAGATATTGAAATTGCATATAGAACAAGTTATACGTTGGGAGAGTTAGTTAAAAATAATAAAGACAAAATATCCAAATTCGAGAAATCAGGAGTATATAAATTAAAGTGTGGAACGTGTCCTCAGGTATATATTGGTCAAACTGAAAGAAGATTTAGGAATTGAATCCAGGAACATCATATGAGCTATGTAAATAATAAAAAAAGTTCAACATATTCAAATCATCTGTTAGAAGAAAATCATATTCTCAACGAAGAGTTCAACATTTTACGCATAGAAAAAAATGTTTGAATCATTTGGAAGGAATGGAAGTCATTAAACTTAAAAATTCAAACATTCTAATGAATGACCAACTGGATTTGAATAGATCACCATTATTGCTAGTGTGTTAGCGAAACATGTGATATATTTCTCAAATAAAGTTTGTGGAAATCGTAAAGTGTAGTTTATAAAATTCTGTTCTATAACAAATACTTCCTACTTTTCTTCAAATAACTGATATCGTACTTTTATCAAAACCATGTACTAAATTATTTGAAGTGCAGAATAAACTGCGAAGAGTTCAGTTCAGGACAGCTGAAGATTTTTTCTTTCAGATGATAACTTTTCATTTTGTGTCAGTATATACATATATGTATATTGTGATGTGAATGTGAATTATACTTTATTGTCCAAGTAAAATACTTTCTTACTGGCTGAGCTTTAAAAAAAATCTGGTATATAATGCACTTGAAAAAATGAAATTATCCAGAAAAGAGCTTTGAGAATAATATTCAAATTGAAGGTGCGTGACTCATGTAGGCCACTTTTCTGCAGAAATAATAACAATATTTGAAATATTCATTTTGGAGGCTTCACAAACATAAAGGAAGGTTTGAAAGCAGGCAGTCTCAAATCTTCAGAAGTAGACAAATATACAGGCTGATTCACGGTGGATGGCACATTAGACGTTTCTGGTGAACCAGACAACGGATCACTTTGACAATTTAATGGAGGGCATATTCGGACATTCTCTAGCCAACTAAAATATTTTCGACAATGCGGTGTTGCCGCTTCTATTAGAAAGCAGTAGCAACTTTGATTTTTCAAATGGA